GTTTTCAAATATCCAAACCATACTGATTGCAGGACTTCGTGTCAGTTCAAGGACAAGAGCATAAATGTGTTAGAAAATGACTTTAAACATTAAAAAAAATATTTCTCCTCTCCCCTTTTTTAGTCTGAAGAGTCTCTCCATCTATTGTGATGAAGAAAAGAGTCTCTTTCTGGATATTTATTTAATAATTTATTTATTTACTTATTTATTTTTATTGGGTTTTTGTAATGACACCAGTCTCGTGGCTCATCAAAATGAATTGCTCCCCTCTTAACATCAGGGATTCCTTGACACATTCAGAACTTTTGGAACTTTTATTTGACAGTTCAGCATACTGAGGGATGAATAAAACAGGTTTGATCATAGGAGATGTTTGACAACCTACAAGAGATTCCAGAATGATTCATCTTTGCAGTTTTAAAAGATGTTTATGGGTATTTTTGGATGTCCTGAACTGTCCCCCAAGACAATGTTTGCAAGCCTGTGTTTCTTACTGTGCTAGACACAAAAATCTTGAGCCATATATGAATATGCTACTGCAAATAGGAAACCCTCTGTTATCTTCAAGTCCTGTTTGCTACTTTGTAATCCTGTACATATAAACAAATTAAAAACTAAAGCCCAATACGATTGGTTTGAGTAGGAAACTACAGAATTTGTTTCAAATTCTGACTTACTAGAGGCAGATAAATATATTGCAGATTGTTACTGCTCCCAAATTCAGCAAAGCAAGAATGAATATGGTATTAATGAGTGTTAACAGATAATGCCAATTAATGAAAGGGAAGGAAAGTAACTCCAATGGTCTGCAAAAGACAGGAGGGTCACAAAGTCTCTAAAACAGATGAAATTCAGCATCCCCAGTTCCCTGCCAGTGGCCTGGGTATTTCAGGAATCAGCTATCATCTCCTTTCTGATCTCTTTTTCCTGCCACTAAGTTGAGCAGGTCAAACACTCCAGAAATGCCAACACCACTGTGAGACAGATTTTACCCTGGAGACAAGAGAGAGAGCTCCAAATGCTGATTTCAGCTGGGGATCCACAGATATTCAGCTGTTTATGGGCCTGCTGAAGACAGAAATTCTCACTTTCCACTTGACATGAGAACCTCTCCCCTCCCTGCTCTTCCCACACTGAAAGCATCGCTCTGCTGAGGAATTGAGAATTATCAGGACTCAGATTTGGCAGAAAAGGTCCATGAAAAACCCAACCCCTCTCTGCTCATCCACAGTGATGCCTGCACAGATCAGAGAGCTCAGAAACTGCAGCAGCTCACAATGAGAATTATCTGATGCTGTAAGACACTGACATTGCTACTGCACTACCAAATGTCAAATTAAACTTTCTACCTAAGTTTTCCTTGCTCAAAACTCAAGTTACTGATCAGGTAAAAATTACTGGAATGATTGTCCTTTGAACCTATTTAGAAGAGTATTTTTAAAAACTGGGCATGTCTAATTTTACTGAAAAACATAAAAAATTGTTTCTCTGACAGAACAGTGAAGTTGGGATAAGGCTGTAACTGCTTAAGTGGAACAGAAAAGGGAATTTTGTTGCAAAAGTATTTGCAGACAATCCATGAAAAATTAATTTCTCATTCATCACTAAGAATACTTCCATTGAAGGTAAGTTAATTTATAAATACTGTGTCATCAAGAAATTCCATTTATACAGTCACTATCTAGCCTTTTCCACTTAGGATCCAGCTGTTTATTAACAATCTTTCTGAGCATCTTCAATGACAGCCCAGCCTTACTCAGCAGAAAACAGCCACAACTTTCTGCATCAAAGCAGATTGTTCAGCAAGACAAGCAACTTTCCTACAAAACCATGGAAACAAATTAATGTGTGCTGCTGACAGCCAGAGAAGTTACAGAGAAACTTCATTAGAAGGTTACTCCTCATTATTTCCACTTGCTAATAAGGAGCTCGGAATTATTTTCCTTGTGGTTTTGGTTGAGTTGTTTGGGTTTTTCCCCCCCCACTTTATAATTAGCAGCATATTTAGATCATGATTTTACTGGCACTATAATGCACCTCAGGCAGTACTCTGAGCAAATCCTACTCACATAGGATCTAAAGTGGACATTTGGTATCAGTCCTTTATGGTTTTTATAACTTATTATAGAAGTATATCACAGAACTCCACAAGGATTTTCATTTCAAATCCTGCATCACTACTGAGTGAAACTGTCACTCCGAATTGGGAATGGCAGAAGCACGACACAGACTCTCTTCTGGGTTGCACAAAAGAGCAAGTTTTATTATTCCAGATCTTTTATAGCCAGCTCTGAGAAGATCAGAGGTAAAACTCATACATAATTTTTTATAATAACTCATATATAATTTTTGCTGCAGAAATATCTTGCCTGTTGGTAGCTCTTATCCAGAAAGAGCTAAGGCGTGGCCAGAGCCCAGCCTAACTGGAAAAGAACCTCCTACATGATAGAATTTTAAAACAAGAGTCCCAAAAATCCTGGGGTAAAAACCAAATGAACCCCTAAACCTGTAACTTATTGACAATATTGTATGAGTGGATTCACACTATTCACACTATTCACACTATTGATTCCTGTAATCAATATATAATTAATATATATAATCAATAATGTAATCACATTGATGATGATGATGATTGATGATGATGATGATGATCGTGATGATGATTGATGATGATGATGACGATGATGATGATGATGGTGATGATGGTGGTGATGATGATATTGATGATGATGATGATGATGATGATGATGATGATGGTGATGATGATGATATTGATGATGATGATGATGATGATGATTGATGATGATTGAAGATGATGATGATGATATTGATGATGATTGATGATGATGATGATAATGATGGTGATGATGATTGATGATGATGATGATGATTACGATGATGATGGTGATGATGATGATGACTGACGATGATTGATGATGATGATGATTGATGATGATTGATGATGATGGTGGTGATGATGATGATGATGATTGATGATGATGATGATGACAGTGATGATGATGATATTGATGATGATTGATGATGATGATTGATGATGATTGATGATGATGATGGTGATGATGGTGATGATGATGATAGTGATGATGATGATATTGATGATGATTGATGATGATGATTGATGATGATGATGGTGATGATGGTGATGATTGATGATGATGATGATAGTGATGATGATGATATTGATGATGATGATGATGATGATGATGACTGATGATGATATTGATGATGATGATGCCCTTTCATCGCCCCTGGGAGGGGAACGGGGCTGTTCCCCCGGCAGAGACGCCCCAGCCGGGCTGTGCTGACCCCAGAGCGGTGCTCAGCGCAGGGATGGGGACCCAGACCAAGACCCCCAAGCCACTGTGTGCCCAGCCCTGCTCCATCACCGCCCCTCCCACTCCGGACAGAGGGCAGGGGAGCACACGGCAATCCTTAAACAGGGAAAGTTACAGGCGTAAAACACTCAGAACGCAAAACTTTTCTCCCCAAAACCCACGGGGCGGGACCATGGAGCAAACCCTCTGTTACAGCATCTTTTGTCTGACTTTCTCTCAGCTTTGGGCCTGGTGTTCTGTGCAAGGCTGGATCAGAGGAGCCAGCCCGTGTGTGCAGATGTGCGGATGGGCTGGGGGGACGGGCTGCCCGTGCCGGGGTGCTCTGCTGCTGCTGCTGCTGATTCTCTTCTCTTCCTGCTAAACAAATCCTCCTGCTGCCCCTGCTGCTGCTGCTGTCCCTGCTGCTGCTGTCCCTGCTTCTGCCCCTGCTTCTGCCCCTGCTGCTGTCCCTGCTGCTGCTGTCCCTGCTGCTGCTGTCCCTGCTGCTGCTGTCCCTGCTTCTGCCCCTGCTGCTGTCCCTGCTTCTGCCCCTGCTTCTGCCCCTGCTTCTGCCCCTGCTTCTGTCCCTGCTGCTGCTGCTGCTTCCCCTGCTTCTGCCCCTGCTGCTGCCCCTGCTGCTGTCCCTGCTGCCATTGTCACTGCTGTTAGCAGGTTTCAGATCCCCTGTGTGGTCTCCCAGATCCGCATCCACCAGCAGTTCGAGGGGCTGAGCTGCTCTGGCAGGAACCCGAGGAACCCGGCCATCAGGGATCCATCAAACAGGGATCCATCAAACGGGGATCCATCAAATGGGGATCCATCAAACGGGGATCCATCAAATGGGGGATCCATCAAATGGGGATCCATCAAATGGGGATCCATCAAACGGGGATCCATCAAACGGGGATCCATCAAATGGGGATCCATCAAATGGGGGATCCATCAAATGGGGAATCCATCAAATGGGGATCCATCAAATGGGGATCCATCAAACAGGAATCCACCCCGGCTGATCCCATCCCATGTTACCATCCCACACAGCCACAGCTGTAACGCTTTAAAGCCTTTTCTGACAGAGCGAGTCCCAGTTGCTGTTTACATCCAGTTCAGAGAGAGGATGAGTTGTTCCTCTGCAGAACTTCAGTTCCCTTTGTGGAAAACCTTTATCTCAATGGCCCAGGAGTGCAATGTGCAAACGCAGTGGCTTATCCCAGGAATGTAAGCTGTAGTTTCCTTGAGGCTTGCTGTTCCAGGCTGGCTCACCAGCCCTCTGCCCGAGCTCACTGACATCTCCAGGAGCACACAGGGAGAAACCCCCTACCTCCCAGAGGAGGAGGAGGAGGAGGGAGACTCCAATCTTCAGCTCCTGCCTGCAAGGCACAGCAGGGGTCTACCAGATGTCACACTATTTTAGGAAGAGAAGCATGACCCAGACTCTCTTCTGGGTTGCACAAAAGAACAAGTTTTATTATTCCAGATCTTTTATAGACAGGTCCAAGAGGTAAAACTCTCATTGGTCGTTAAACCAACACACCACCCGCACTGGACAATTGGGAACAACACCCCTTGACTGCTTCTTGCAAGTAAACAAGGATCCAAACAACACCTGCTGAGGTTGTTTCCCCTCTCCAAGGGCTGTTTGGATTCCTCCTGACGATTTCCCAGGCCAGTCTGAGAAAGTTCTGTGACTTGGTTTCACACAGGCATGTGCTCCCTGCCTGCTTTCTCACATTCAGCATCCATATGAAACAGTCCATCTTCCTGCATATATAGGATTTAAGGAATTAAATACTTATAGAGCACATGGACTGAGCCAGATTTACGTGTAGGTAATTGGCAGTTTTAAACTCACTAGTACACATAGAAAAAAAAATATTGGCCACACAACATTCTCTTCAAGGCTGAAACCAAAGCAGCAGATCTGAAAACGAAATACAAGGTGGGACTAATGGGGAAAATACAATCTCCACAAGGAAGGGAATGGCTTTTCCTGCCCTCGAGATTTACAAAGAAAATATAAAACACATTAACTGAATGCTCCAAAGCCATTTTTCAGAATAAGTGAATTTATGGCTTCTAAGATATGTCCTTACCTGGGGAAGGATGCAAAGGGAAACATCCTCAGCCTGCTGCTCCTGAACAGCTCCTTGGGCTGCTCAAGCTTTACAGTCTTTGCAGTCTGCAGGACAAAGTATGAGAACTTTGGCACAGTTACTCTATAAAAAATTATAAGATTCCCTTTATAAGAATCCAACACAGTTTGTTTCCCTTTCTTTGACAACTTAATTCATGACCAAATAGACAAAAATATCAAACTGACCACTAGTAGCAATTAGTTTTACCAGATCCTACAGCAAAGCCAAAATTAGCCATAGAAATGTTTTAACATCAGAGAGAAAAGACAGATTACACTAAATCCAGACAAACCTTTTATGGAGGGATGTTTAATTTAATGAGATTTCCTCAAGTCAACTTACTGAGCTCTCAGTACAAATTCAACATCAGGGGCTGCTCAGAAAAATCAGTGTAAAGAATATCCTTGAAGAAACCAAATTTTTAAAATGTTCTCCTATGAAGTAATAACAAACAATGTGTTGACATCAAATCATTATTGGGAGTATGACAGGACAGTCATTAAATATGTGAAAAACATTTCAACCCATATACAGACATTCTAGTCTAGAAGTTGCTTACAATAAAAAAAGAAAGACCACTCATACTGCCTTGTAAATAATAATAGTTCTGAGTACACAGAACCAGCTGAACAAAGTTATAAAGAAACTGAAAATCTGGAAATCCATTGAAATTCAGTTTCTTGTAAGTTTTTTCCTCCTTCCTATACTTGAAAGAATACAGGAAGGAGAAACTTGGATAAAAGAAGAGTATTTCTATTGCTAAGGCAACAGAAAAGCAGAAATAAAATCCAGGAAAATAAAGCAATTTTGAAGAATTCTTGCAAGCTGTATAAAAACCTCCTGATAGGAATAGGGCAAGGCATGATTAGAGCTGGGAACACCAGCACTACCAATGGCAAAGCCCCTCTAAATAGGAACAATGTTTTCTTTATAACAGCAGTAATAATGATAAAACTAAACAAACAAATAAAAATTAAAGAACAAAGGGAAAAAAACAAAAATAAAACCTAGAAAAACTCCACATCTCTAAGAAGGGATGAATGAAATGATCTTATCCATCCTCTGATGGTTAATCCCAGTGTTCCCTGTGCTACTGGAATCCCAGGAAGAACACTTGGCACAGTGGCAGTTCCTGATCTTCCCACTGCCAGCACTGCTTGCACAGGCACAACTGAGTAAACAACTCTGGCTGTGCAGAACCAGCCAGCCTAAAGGGTGAATTATTAATAAAAGGAATTCCCAGCAAGTTCTCACTGATGAATTGATGCTGCTGATGACTTGCAAAACCAGCTGCTTTTACTTCATTAGTTAAGAATAGTTTAATTTCTGAAATGACTGCAGTGAACAAGTTTTATGTTTTCACACATATTTTTTTCATTTATTTCTGTTTTCTCACAAATTTTAAGGAAATAACTTCAAATGAAAAGACTTCTTACTCAGGTGGTGTTGATCACATCTGAGTTCTCAAACCCAGGAATAAAGACACATGAACATTCCAAACCAACTGTCACACAGGAATTGATCCCCCTGCAGCTGCAGGAAAAGGAACATTTTCAAATGGAAATTGATCCTGCAGTATGCAATAACTACTTGTCTGATATTCATGAATTCATTGTTGCGTGAGTAAAGGAAGATAAAATGAGAAACACTCAATGATGTAAACAGCTTTGTGCCCTGTCCAGTAAAAATATTAAATCATCAATTACCTTTTCATCTGAATACTCCAGTAAAATAAAATCTCGCCTGAAGATATGATCAATTCCAGTTAAAGGCTTACAGACCTCAAATGAGAATTTAGTTAGCCATAAACAAAGGATATGAAAATGCCAAGTTAAAACAAAGGTGCCAGGGACCCTTCATACACTGAACCTCCAGACAGGTTTTAAATGTGTTGAACAACAGCCTAAAAGTTTGTTTTGTTACCTGACCACAAATCCTGTGGCTCCAAAAATTCTATAATCATCATAAAGCCAATATTAAAGTTTTAGTTTATAATGATGAATATTCACTACAGGTGAATTTGAGTGGTGTTTTATTGTCTTTTCCTACCCATTCCTTTCCAAAGCACAGATAAATTATTACTCTTTTTACATAGCCATTTATATAAAACCCACTAAATTGACATTTAATAAATTTTGATTATCTCATAAATTGAAAAATACAACTCTTTCCTACTTGTTGGGTCATAGACTTGGAAATGATGAGGTGGGAATGAAGTTCATCCCTGCATGTCCTCCATTTCATGTGCAACAACTATGACTTGCCATATGCCACAGATGGATTAAGAGAACTTTTCCAACAGTGAGAAATACAAAGTGGCCTTTAAGATGTCCATGTTCACAAAAAGATTGCAAAGACCAGCAAGCTTTATTGTTGCTTACATGCTGTTCCACTGGATGAAACACTTTTAACTGCTTTTATTTGAACCCCTGCACTGAGCTGCACATGAGCACCCACAGCTGCTCACAGCTGGCTGGGAAGCCTTCCATAACCCCCCAGCTCCAGGGGTTCAAGGGCTGGGGGCTATCCCTGTGTCCATAACCCCCCAGCTCCAGGGGCTGAAGGGCTGGGGGCTTTCCCTGTGTCCATAACCCCCCAACTCCAGGGGCTGGGGACTATCCCTGTGTCCATAACCCCCCAACTCCAGGGGCTCAAGGCTTTCCCTGTGTCCATAACCCCACAATTCCAGGGGTTCAAGGGCTGGCCTTTCCCTGGGAACCCAGGGAAGCAGAACCCTGGCAGCCCAGCCCAGCCTGACCCTGCTGGCCCCACACCAGTGCAACCAGTCACACCAGTAACACAAGTGCCTCACACTTGTGAGGAGCAGAGCAGACCCCAGGCAATTCCTGCTATGAAACACAGCAAAATCAGTCCCAAACTGCAGGATGATGCTTGTGTCTCCAACCAAAGGTCACCTGACTATCAACTCTTTCCCACTTTCCATCACAATGATTCACAGGAGGAGATTTCTAGCCAGCTTTCCAGACAGCAGCTATCCTGCAAGTTCCATGAACACGGCTTATTTAGTGCTGCTCAAGTGCTTTCAGTGATTAACAGCATAATCTCCTCTGTATACCACTGCACTCTGCTTCTGAAGGGACCAAAATAGAAATCCAACTGCACTGTCCTGCCCAGATAAGCAATTTTCTGCCACCTGAATGCAGAATGCTGAACTTTTTTTCTTCACCCAAGGAAAACATAATTTTCCAGGCATATATTTATGATATTCCTTATATTATATATCATTAACATACTACCATTGCTATGTATATTATTTCAGACAGTTATTTAAATGAGTCAAGGTATTTGACAACTTTTTTTTTTTTCCTTATACAACCCTCTGGCTTTTATATACGTCTTACTTAGAGATGCTAAAAACTGACAAAATGTTGCTACAATACTCCAATCAGTTAAAGAAAATATTTTAGAAATAAACCACTGGCCCCAATGATCCCCATACTGTGATGCAGAAAGTCTGCTCATTTTTTTAATCTCTGTGCTTCCCTAGGAGGAAGCACTGATAGGTCTGTACACAAAAAGACAGATAAATAACCCCAAAAGACATAAAAATAACCATAATATCAGGTAACAACATTTCAGTGGGCATAAAAGGGGATGGTAGTGAACCTTTGTGATGCTTTGGCTGCCCTGTGCACTCCACCTTCACTGACTTTCATCATTCCTGTGTTGGCACAGGCTGTCTCCAAAGCATGTGACATCCTGGTGCCTACCAAATAATGAGACTCAGGGTGGGAAGTGTCATGGGACAAAACACTGCAAAACAGGGTAAGTTTGTTTGGGAGCTTCTTCCCATATTTTAACCCATTCCTGGCTAAGAATCGACACAGTGCAAACAACTCACGCTCCAAATTTATGATTTAAAAATCAAAGTCTCGCTCATACAACTTGCTGATCAGATAATGAAAATAACTTGCTTATTTTCAGGAAGCTTTTCAGAGCATACTTACTCTGTGCAAGTACAAACACTCCACTAAGAGCCCAGCTTACTCAGCCCTTGTGCTTAGCTGTTCCCTCCACCACAAACCTGCTCTGAACTACTTCAGATTTCCAGTGCCTGAATAACCAAATCAATTCAAGCTCAACAGCTCCCAGTATCTCTCCAATTTACACATCACTTTTGCTACAATGCTGTCAAGATCTCAAAGTCTGCAGCCAGAACATTTCTTAATCACTGAAACGCTAATTTTGGGCTGTGCTGCCGCTGAATCCTTGAGATTTACCTACCCCCTAAAAATCAGGGGAAAGTCTTACTCCTGTCTACTGATATTATTATTAGTAGTAGTAATATTAGTATTATTAATCACTACCTCCATCCTCCATGAGAACTAAGAGATAACTCCAGGATGAGTTACTCCAAGGCACACTGGGTGCTGGCACCAAGCCACACCAGGCAAGAAGGGTTTCTTACCTGTTCAAAGGAACGGCTCAATTTTGCACAGCAATTTCCATCTGCTGAGAAAATGAGGCAGTGATCTTATTTTCCTCCAGACTGTGTACAATTGCCATGCTTTGCAGGCTCAGGATCTCACAGCACTTCTGGCTAATTTTTGAAAACTTCTTATACCTGCAAGGAAGGACACACTAGGGCAAGTAAATGGTGTGCTTCCTTCTCCAGATCTACTGCCTTTCATATGGATCTCACACATTTACATTGCAAATCCATCTTTGAGATGAGAAAGTCATTTAACTCTCACAAGCACAAGTAATTCTGATGTTGTATCCCAGCACAGGCTTCCTGCAAATAGCTGCGCTCCCAACTCAAAAGCCTCTTGCTCTGTTTTTCTGTGATAGTTATATTTCTTGTTTAATTGTGGTTTTATCTTAAAACAACCAAAAATGCATTATGCAAATAAGTCCTTTCAAGAAATCACTTTGTGAAACTAAAATAAACTTGAAGGTTTATTGCCTTGTAAATTATTCATTGTAGCCTTTTAAATGACAGGATACAAACTGTACAAAACAAGGCAGCAGGAGAGACACGTCTATTTTTAAAATCACACTGGGTGTGACATCATACTTCCCAAAGTCTGCCACCACAGCCACTGGGAAGCAACTCTTCCATAATCTGGGAAGCAGACCAGGCTCCCAGTGCCCCTCCTTCCAGCTGAGCCAAATCCCCAGAGCCTGGAGAACACTGTACAATCAATCACACAGACCCACCCCAACCCTGAGCCACCTCTGGAAAGGTTTAAATCTGCAGCCCATATTGAAAATCCCCAGTGCCCTCAGGTTTCTGCACAGCTGTGAGCATCCCCCTGGGTTTGAGCACTGCTGTGGTGTCAGGATCCTCTCACCTGACCAGGTAAACCTCTCCTGCTCAGGCTCTTTTCTCAGCTGCAGGTTCCTACTGCCTTGATGGGT